GACTCTGTCTACATGAAGTCGAACAAACCAGCTCCAAGGACCATTAAAGAAGTACCACTGGGTCATTATCCAGTACCCCAAACGCGGCATGAACTCTTTATGGATGCTGTCTATGGATTCGCTAACGATGCATCCGACAGTGACCCTGAGGCACCAGACACCTCGGAAGACGACGATGATTTCCTGCCTCGCATTCGACACCCACGTGAGCCAGTAAAAAAGAAACACGGAGTCAGGAAAATAGATCTACGAATGCAAAACTACAAGGACCGATTCCATAAAGACTGCTATCCGTGGCGCCCAAGGCAACATAAAGCGCCAAAGGCCGGCATCTACTGGACCGTCACGGTTTACGCAACAATGCAACCCACGGCGAAACCAATTAGACAACATACAGCGACTATGACTATCCGGAAGTTGAGTTTCCTGCCACGTATGATTGCTTTGCATCATCGAATTCCACCGACAATTACCACAGATTATTGCCTCGCGGTTGGTCCACGAGCAAACACTGATGCCGGTGTGATTACGCTCAATGGTGAGCTAGACAAGATGATCTACCAACCAGGCGACCCCATAATTGTCTATATCAAGGTTCACAACACTTCGAATCGCGTAGTCCAGCAACTGACAGTGGAAGTAAACCAATGCATTCGTGTGGCCTCTTGGAGTAATCGCGTCTGGAGGATTACAATTTGCCGACGTGAGATAACTGCCGAGAACCCAGATGCACAAATGCCTATTCTACCGGCAACAGAGCAGGTGAAAATCAACGTGCGCATGAATCCATTCTGTGTAGAGAAACAGTATAGTCACCTGTTTTATGATAAGTGGCACAAACGCCGACTGCCCAAAGTGCCCATTGAGGAGGAGGCTTGGACACTGCGTATGCCGACAACTCCGGGCATATTTTACGCTGTTGAACAACCCGGTCGGCACGAACCCGTTCCGCTGACTTTTATCCTACGTAGGAGACCAGCATTCTCTACACTGCCGGGTGTAATTGATAACCTCATGGAGAACTATCCAGGTAAGTTGCCAACTATAAGGGAACCCCTGGAGAAGGAGGTTAAAGATCTCTGGAGCGAAAATCCCTATGGGCGCTGCCGCTGCTTCCGG